CAGTCATAAGCTTTGTGTGTGTGTGTGTGTGTTGAACCCAGGACCTTTGAACTGAGCAACATCATCACCCCTTTTTATATTTTGAGACAAGGTCTTAATTAAATTGCCTATGCTCATCTTCAATTTACAGTCCTCCTTCCTGAGCCTCTTAAGTGCTGGTGCTACAGCCTGTGGCACCACACCATGTCAGTTTTAAATTTTAGGTGCTAGGGGGTTGGGGAGATAGCTCAGTAGAATAGGCTCTTGCCTGGCAAGTGCAAGGGCCTGAGTTCAATCCCCAGTTCCGCCCAAAAATAAATAAATAAATAAAAAAATTTTAGGTGCTGATAAGATACTTGGGTATCTTGGTGAATGCAGGTGCTAGAAAGGTATCTGGGTATCTTGCATGTTGGTGAAGTCATTTTAAAGCTATTAGTTCAAGGTGTTAATATTAGGACAGTTTGGGTAAATTAGAAAATCAATAGTTGTATTGGATTTAAATAGTTGGGACATTTGGTCACTACAGTGTTACATGGGAAGTGATCTTGTTCTTAGTGAACATATTCTAATCTATGGAAACGGGAGCAAGAACAAAGGGTTATGTGGAATCCAGTTAAGTAGACTTTGTCCTAATCCACATCTTTAGCTCACCTTTACTAGCAAAGATCTTGACTATACAAATTCCCTCAATTCTTAAAGTGAGCACATGTTCAGGGTTAAAACAGTCGGTGAGAATGTGTGTACAACAAAGCAGGTATGTTGTCCTTTTGCATATGTGCTGGCCACTATAAAGGATGAGAGTTGCGGACTGGGGATATAGCTCAGTAGCATAAATGGCCTGCCTGGCAAGTGCAAGGTCCCACCTTCAATCCCTGGTACTGCAAAATAAACTTAAACAGATGGGTGAAATAGCTCAATGGACTAAGCCCATGCCTAGGCAAGCACAGGGACTGGGGTTCAATCCCTGGCACCACAGGCCTTTCCAGCCCTGCCACCAGGCATACTGAAGCTAACAAGACTGGGCCGGGTGGTGCACGCTTGTAATCCCAGCGCTGGGGAGGCTGAGACAGGAGCATCACTACAAGTTGGAGCTGTGTGGTGAGACTGTACCAAACACATTTAAAAAAAAAGGATGAGAGTTTGGTGTGTGAAGGAGAAACTTGATATTTTTTACTTTATGTACAAAAAGTTTTCTAGCAAAAAATATTTTTTTTTCTGTGATGATGATGATGACTTTTAATCTATTTATTTAGTACTAGGTCTCGCTTAGCTAGGACTTGTAGTGATCCTCCTGTGTTAGCCTCCCCAGTATTGGGATTACAGGTGTGACAACTCGCCCTGTCTTGGTGGCCAGTGCAACGCACCCTCCCAGGGTGGGCGTGGCATGTGGTACAGGGATCCAGCCAGGTTCTTGCACTTGCCAGCAGATGCTTAGACCGCCAAGCTATCTCCCCAGCCCCATGTGATGATGTCTTTATTTTATTGAATATTTACAGTGAAATGCAACTGCTATATTTATTATCTGTGTATTTTTTCTTGGGTTTTATGCACATTATCAATTACATACTGGTTAGAATTCTTACTTTAGAATGGAAGACTGGGGGCCAGGGAGATGGCTCAGTAGAATAATTGCTTGCCTGGCAAACACAAAGGGTTTGAGTTTAATCCTGAGTTCAATCCCCGGTTCCACACACAAAAAAAGAATAGAAGACTGAATTGCCAAACAACTTAGAACAGGCCTTGTATTTCAGTGTAAGATCCAATGCAGTGCTACATATGTACATTATATAGTAAGATCTTAGAGATTATAATGCGTGCATTTTTTATTCAATTAAAATGACACTTTGTGACTTTTTAAAACCTCTAAATCTAGGGATGCATCCTTGATGGCAATGAGAAGGCGAATTGAAGGTTTGACCCCAGAAGAAATTCGAAATCTTTCAAGAGAAGAAATGCACATGCCCACAACAATGGAAGATTTTGAAATGGCTTTAAAAAAGGTTTCTAAGTCAGTTTCTGCTGCAGACATTGAAAGATATGAGAAATGGATATTTGAATTTGGATCATGCTAAATTCTCACATGAAAACTGTGAGAAATCTGCCTTATGTCTTTGAAAATAATTAAATGTATTTCATTGCACTGAGTGCTATATTTTTTTAAACTTTCATAATGATAAGATTTTTTAAATCCTTGTGATTCTGAATAAAGGCATTTTTTTTTAAGCTCCAAATTTGTTTTTCTTCCGCATTTACTGATTTCTATTTATAGGTACTTCAATACAAATATTGTTCCTGCAGTTGGAAAATGGCTTTTTTGTACTATTTTTTGGGACCAGGGATCAAACTCGGGGCCTTGCACTTGCTGGGCAGGTGCTTATGCCACTGAGCTATCTCCCTGGCCCTTTTTTGTACTTCTAAGTATAGTATGTTCTCTTCTACTCTGCCACTGTGGCTCTCGCTCCTTAGTTGACAATGATAACTGAAAATACCTGAACACCTTTAAACAGGTAGCCAGTTAAGACATGACCCAGACCCAGACCCATTGTGTCTTCCATTCCATCTAGTGGTGTAGTAGTTTCCCTTTTTCTGGGATAGTAAAATTCTTCACTCTTACTGTGCTTTTTAAAAGCAAAAAGCCCCACAGTCTTGTCTGAATGACTTTGCCTGCATAAGAAGCTATACTACAGGTATTTCTCATTTATTCTACTTTTTTGGGGGGAGTGGTACCAGGGATTGAACTCAGGACCTCATGCTTGCCAGGCGGGCACTTATGCTGCTGAGCTATCTCCCTGGCCCCTACAACAGGTATTTCTAAGCCTCTGCTGTTCTTGTACTGTAGTCAAACTCATTATAGTTAATTATATAAAGGTAATAAATGAAATAAACATATAGGGCTGGCGAGATAGCTCAGCAGACTAAGTATCTGCTTAGGCAAGTGCAGGGACCAGAGTTCGATCCTTGGCACCACATGCCACACTGGCCCCACCTGTGGACTCAGTGAGCTGGCCACCAGTCCTAGTTGGGAGGCTGAAAATAGGAGGATCACTATGCGTCTGAGCTGCGTAGTGAGACCCTATACCAAATACATTTTAAAAAGTATATTTTTGTGGGTAAGATTTCCATTTATGATTCCTTAGAACAAATTATTGTATCATTCCAATCATAGAAGAAAGAATAGACCCGCAAGGAGACTGAGTTCTTTGCTTTGGGCCCAAGCCTCACTGGGAACGAGAGAAGCCAGGAGACAAACCCATGCACTCTACAGCTTTTCCTCTCCCACAGATCACATGCTGTCACTTTCTCCTTGCTTCAGTCTATAAGCTTATGGTTAATAGATGCAGTAAGACCTTGTCACTGGCATAAAACAAAGTATTATTAGTGAGTTTGGGATGAATACTTTAATTTTTGGGTGGGGGGGTTTGAGACAGGGCGTCACTCTTTAATTTAGGTTGGCCTTGAACTCACTATGTAGCCCCAGGCTAGCCTCAAGCTCAGAGTGAACCTTCTGCCTCAGCCTTCTGGGTGCTGGGATTACAGTTGTATACCATCACTCCTGGAACGGATCAGGTTATACATTTTGTGCCATTGTTTTTACAGTATGGAGAGAGGAATAATATATTACACAGTTGAATTATACTAGTTATAAGCCAGGCCAAATGACAGGTCACTCCTTTCTCTTACTTGCCTTTGCTCTTTTTCTACAGGTGTATCTACTTTAAATATAGTGTTTCTTAAGAGGTAGACATGGTGATGCATTGTTAAGATATGTCCGTGTGATGGTGGTTTATAAAAGTAAAGAGAAAATACAGGGTAGTTCTTTATTTCAAACCTCAAGGTGCAAAGTACACTGGTCCCATGAATGTGATGGATTCATTAGCTGATCTCAGCCTTGGCTTCAACCAGTGTTAAGTGAAAGGAGCTATACCTATACCTGCATAGAGTAATTTTTTTATTTTGGGGGTGGGAAATGTAATCAAAACAGCTACATTGGGGCCAGCCAAATAGCTCAGCAGATTAAAGTGCCGCCTACAGGCACAGGGGCTGGGGGTTCGATCCCTGGGCCTGCCATGCCAGCCCTGCCCCCGGGGGCCCCTGAGAGGCATTTGAGACTGGGCATGGTGGTGCTTGGCCTGCACTGCTGGCTCTTGGGACGCTGTAAACGGGTGGATCACTACAAGTCTGATCTAGTAGTGAGACCCTGAACACCTTGTAGACCCCTAAAAATATGAAAAAACAACAACAAAAAAAAAAACCCTTATTTGGGGCCGGGGAGATAGCTCAGTAGAATAAGCGCTTACCTGGTAAGGGCAAGGTCCTGAGTTCAATCTCTGGTTCTGCAAAACAAAACAAAACAAAACAAAAAAAAAACCCCTACATTTTTCCCTCAAAAAATGTTTAGAGTAAGAGTATGTCATTTTAAATCCTGGTGTATTCAAAGTAAATAGTCTTAGTACAGGATATAATCAAATTAAAATACACCTTAATGATTTTGTACTGAGTTACACACTTATTATGGCATGTTGTACTAAATTTTTTTTTTAAAAGTGCTAAGTTCTTGGGTTTTAGATTATCATTTTTTCATAAAGTCCTAGTAATCAAGTGGGTATTTCAAGTGCTAATTTCCTTAGCAAGGGCACCTTGGAAATTTATTGGCACATGGTATTCTATCTCACCTTTTTTCTTTTTGGTAATATTGGTCTCTTCACATGTCTTCTCTTTCATTTTGTTTAACTTTTTCTTAAAAGTCTATCAGTTGAAGTCTATCAGCCCTTTTCAACCTTGTCTTGGCACTGTACAAGTCAGTTTTCAGGTAGTCTCTGGAGTTTGGCAGTTTCTTTGTGCATAAACTGATTTTTAATAATTCAAAGAAAATATTCAAGGGGTAAATTTGGAGACAACAAACTAGTCCAGAGCCCATGATTTGAAATGGTAGTTTAATTAATTTATTTTTTTTTTTGTACAAGGAATTGCACTGAGGACTTTGTGCTTGCCAGGCAGGCACTGTGCTGCTGAGCTATATCCTGGGCCCTTTACTTTTTAAATATGTTTTTCTTCAAGGTTTTCTGCTGTCTTCAAGGTTTTCTGGATCTAAATTGATAGGTGTTGGAGGTGTTTTATCCACCTGAAGAATATCTCTGAAATATAATTATTTTTCAAAATTATTTCCTAAACCAGTAGTATAAGCTAAGGCTACTTTAAGGTTGTAATTGTATACTTAAGCCAGGGGTGGTGGTGCACACCTATAATTCCAGGACTTGGGAAGCTGAGGCAGGAAAATTGCCATGAGTTCAAGGCCATCCTGAACTAAATAGCAAGACCCTGTCTACAAACAAAAAACCCTAAGGTTACATACTTTTGCTTCACTTTCTCTATAGGTTATGCAAACTCTGAATCCAAAGTTACCTTTGGCTAGACTGACTGAGGAAAAAAAAGGAATATAGAAGTGCAGTACCTGGCTGCGTAGGGAAGGAAAGCACAGAGTAAATCTCGGTCTTCAAGGAAGAGTTTTAGTCCCTAGATTTGCATAGGGAAGGTAGAAAGATGAAATCTAATATTCTAAACAACATTCACCACTGGAACAGCACCTTGTATCTTTAGACAGCATCTTTTCCTCTAATACCAAGCTACAGAATAGGTCCTTAGAATGAATCCAAGGTTACTCCAATTAATAAACCAACAGAGGCCAGTTGTTTTAAAAACCAAAGAAGCTACCATGGTTTAGATCTAAAATGTCCCCAAAAGTCTGGATTCAGAGGTGGGCCTTTTGGAAGGTGACTGGATCCTGGGGACACTGTATTTATCAGTGGGTTAGTCCACAGATGAGCTCATAATTGAATACGTGGGCAACCATTTGGGATCTCTCTTCTTAGAAGCTATTATTATTTCCAAATTTTCCTTTTCTTAAAACAAACACTGGATGAGCTATTAGGAGGTGGGTGTGGGTTACACGTGATTTGGACAAGTGTATTCTTGTCACTAACTCTTCTGCTTCCTTGCCACTGTGACTGGGCAATTTTGTCTACCGGGCCCTTCTAATGGGCCATTTGTGCTTTACTGGTGGCAGACCATAGACTGAACCCACAAACATGCAAACAAAAACTGTCCTTTAAGCTGCAGGTGTTACATATAAACTGATAATGAAGTTCACTTAGGAGAAACTTTGCAAGAATATTTGTAACAGTTTTTAAAAGAAACAGTGGGGAAAAGAGAAAGATACCCCAACCAGCTATCAAAGACTATACTAAAACAATAGTAAATAGCTGGTTGTGGGTATACATGCCTCCAATTCAGCACTCCAGGAGGCTAAGGCTAATGAGTTCAAACCCAGTTTGGGCGATTTAGCATTTTAGCAAGACCCTATCTCAAATGAAACAATGTAAATTGAATGGCTGGGGATGTTGCTCAGTGCAAAGGCCCTGGGTTCCATCCCCAGTATCAAAAGACTGTCTTTGATAGCTGTTACAGTTATTAAAACTGTTACACAGTAAAACAGATAAATAGAAGAGTCCAGATAGAACAAAACAAGAGAAACAGACTAATACATTGGAATTTTGTTTAAATATATTCCAAGTCAGTGGAATGATGGCCTCTGTTTAGAAAACAAAAATCAAAATTCTAGCTTAAAGTACACTTCAAAAGTGATGCTAGAAAGTAAGAGTTGAGAAAACATAGGTAAAACCTGGGTGTGATGGTACATTCCTATAATCCCAGCATCAGGAGGTTGAATCAGAAGGATTGTTGTAAGTAGGCCAGCCTGAACTACACAGCAAGATCCTGCCTCAAAAATAAATAAAGAATTACAATATAAAGACATAAAATACATAAGTCAGGCATGATGGAGACCACAAGGGGGACTCCTGGATCTCAGTTTGGGACCTGTTACTCATGAGAAGTATAATCCATGTTCTTCCCAGCCCCTCATGTTCCTGAACAACCTTAGCAACATCAAATGTCCAGATGTACAGTGAAAGCCAGAGCTTGCCATGGCAGCTCTAAGCTAAGTTAGCTGAGGAAAGCCATGGGGATCACTGTGCTATTTGGGCCCTTAACCTGTTACTCGTTAAGTATGGTTTTTTTCTGTGCTAAGGACTTAAAAGCTGCTTTGCTGGAAAAAAAAAAAAAAAAAAAGTGACTTTTTCGGGTTATGATTGCCCAGTAGTGACTAAACGCAGAAAGCTTGGCATTTCTGCCTTCATTCTCTCTTTTATTACCTTAAAAACTTTGGGTCAGATCCAGAGTCAGCTCTGCATGCAGGCATGTTAATTGTTTAAGGAGTATGTTTATTAACCATAATTTCCCTAACAAATCATGCCCTTTTATGACTGAGGACACAAAGCTAAGAGATTTGCAGATATTTAGCTACTGACTCTGGTCACCTTTTAGGCATCTCAGTCTTCAGTCACTGCCCTAAACCTGTAGTTGCCTTGGATTTCAGCAGTCTCCCCAAAACTGAGGCCTAATGTTTAACTTTTGTGTGGGGGGGGTGGGGTGGGGGGGCTTGCTTTTTTTTTTTTTTTTTTTTTGAGACAGGGTCTCACTATGTGTTCAGCCTGGCCTTGAACTCCCTGTAGTCCAGGTTGGCCTCAAACTCAGGCCAGCCTTTTACCTCAGCCTCCAGTGCTGGGATTAGAAGCACATGCCACCATGCCTGCTCAACCTAAGATTAAAGCCAACTAACCACCATCAAAAGAAACATCTTTCCTTAGGCCCAGGACCAAGTTCTACCCTCATCCCAGGTTTAAAAGCTGCAGCTCTGCCTCTCCCAACCAAGCTGAAGTGTAAAAGTGCTGTATTTGAAATTCTGAAGAAACAGCAATTTTGAGATAGTACAGGCCTATTTAGGAAAAATTAAGACCCCATAAGCCATAAAGAAACATAAATTGTTCAGATCGAAACTTAGAGCTTTTGTATGACATGGGCTGCTACCATGTAAGAACAAAATAATAGACTAGGATAGGGCCGGAGAGATGGCTCAGTGGAATAAGCGCTTCCCTGGCAAGCGCAAGGGCCTGAGTTCAATCCCCAGTTCTGTAAAAAAAAAAAAAAAAAAAAAAAAGACTAGGATAGAAAAATGCAATACATAAATATGCATAACAAAGGGGCTGCTGTAAATGACAAGTGGTGCAAGTGAACAGTAGACAAAGCTACAGGCAGGCATGTCACAAAAAGAATATATACAGCCTATTACATCAGTAAAGTGCCAGTAAAAAGAAAACAAAATTAAAATGAGGTATTTTTAGCTATAGTAGCAAAAATTTAAAAGATCATTAGATTTTGAGCAGTTTTTAAATAGACATATCCCCTGACTTAGAAATCATAGGAATCTAGCACCTGCTTAGGCAGAAGTAGGGGCCGGGGATTCGATCCCTAGCCAGCCGTGCTGGTGCTGGCCCCGTCCCCAGGGCTTGCTGAGGTGGCAATTGAGACTGGGCGTGGTAGCCTGCACCTGTAATCCCAGCACTTGGGAGGCTGAAAACAGGAGGCTCACTACTCATATTTACATAGTGAGACCATGTAGACACTGTATTAAATACATTAAAGAAAAAATTATAGGAATCTATTTATGTAGAGACACATGTACAAAGAGATGTATCTGCACAAGAATGTACACTGGAACATTATTAGCAATCACATGAAATTGGAAATGATCTAAATGCCTACAGAGGAGGACTTAGGTATGTGCTCTGGGACTCTGTGCATTTCTGGTTCTGATGTGTAATAACATGTACCTTATCTCCAGCAGGTTTCTGGGCACATAGCTCTCCAAATCAATCTCAAAAGTGCTAGCCCTTGTATACTACTGAGGTGACTGAGGGCTAGGAGCTCCTGGATGGTCTCAGGGGAGGGGCTGGTCACTAGAGGCATGACCATCATCATGTGATTAAAGGAACTGAAGTTTCAGTTCCATTGCCCAACCTCTAGGGAGGAGGGGAGCTGAAGGTTGAGTGGATCACCATAGCTAATAATTTGACCAATTACATCTATGAAATGAAGTTTCCATAGAAGTCCAGAAGGACTGGGTTAAGAGAACTTCCAGAGGGCTAAGCATGTGGAGATATTTGGAGAAGTGGTACTGAGGAGAAGAAATCCCCCCCCCACACACACACACATTGGTCACCAGAGGTGTGTAATGAATTGAATGCCTCTTTAGAACTATGCAGCCATGAAATGAAGTAAACTGTATATAAT